GTGTAAATTCATCAGTATACTCTAGTAAAACCCACAGAAATTCAGCAGGAATCTCATTTCGGGTAAAAATCAGGATTTTTAAATATTCCGGAAGGATCCAAACGGAGACCATGGGAAAAAATTCCGCGGCATTTTTAATGTCAAGAGGTTGGCCACAATTTGTTTACATGAACGGGAATTAAAAATGAGCCATATTCTTTTCCTTTTCCAAAGAACTTGGAAAAGTTTTTCCCAGTGAGTGATTACTGAAGTGTCGAAGTCACTAAGACATCAGTTCTAGTAACGGCATGACCTGCGAGTACAAACATGATTGTAGTTATGAAAACGGTGGAAGACACGTAGGAATCTCCTGAAAATTCCACGAGGTTCAATAACGAAAACCTTGTACGACTTTTTACGGGAAACAAGTCTCTGTCTCTTTGACTGAAGCATTTAAATGTACACTATCAATGTTTTTCTGCGTGTTTTGCTTGTCCGATACTAAAGCATCTTTTTTTTTTGGAGCAGAAACACTCAATTATAGTGATAGTATTTTGGTATCGTTACTCTTGATACAGAACATCTGTCTGTTTTAAAGACGTGCTTTGTACTAGCAGTCGAAAAAACTTGATATTAGTGTATTGCGACCGACGTGTACATTACTGAAGAAATAAAATCGGATGACTACAACGTTGAGTTTGTTTAGCACAACTGGTCTCCACGTGATTTGTTTGTCTTATATCTACAGAAGAGATTTGATCAAATTTTTTTTATACTGATAATAAACACACTTTAATATTCTTGAGGGGGCACTCCATTAACCAGAAGTAGCTAGTTGAGATAAAGACATTTTTTAGTAATTCATTTTGTACATGTGTCTTCTTTGACAGATTTTTAGGTGTGGTCTGAGAATATTTCCTCTAAAAACACAACGGTTTCTTCTAGAAGATTTTATAGTTTTTAAAGTGTTTTTAGAAATATCCACAGTTTTTAACTCTTAAACTCGATAGAAACAAAAAAAGGTTAAAAAAGAAAATTAATTTCCTCCATTCAGTGAGACTGAATGTTTAATTTAATTTAAAAGCATCACGACATTTCTAACTCGTAAACTAAAAAAGTGTTTTTGTATCTGTATCTTGCATCTTGTTTTCTCGACTTTCTCAAACTGTTACAGGTAGAGAACCGGAAATCATTTTTCAAGAATCATTTGATATCATATGTGTCTGCTGATATTTTCGTTAAAATTGGATATAAAATAAAACGAATTTGTCTTACTGTGAAGAATTCTCTTAATATCTATTTAATGTAAGAGTTAGTTTACTATCAATAAATTTTGTAATCCTTAGCAAAGTTTTCGCCAAATAACGTTATAGAAGCGATGCATTATAACGACAAGATCCCGTTAAATATAATCGCACAATAAACTAACAGTTCAACCAGAAGAGAGTCCACTTATATATTTTAGATATACTTTTGTTTTTTGCATATATTTGTTATGTATAATTCGAATAAAAGATCGTTTGGTACTAAATTTTATGTGTTGGTAATTTTGATTATTATTGTCTTCGTGGTACTGTTACATAATATGTATTCGAAAGGACCAGCACAAAATATTGGTGAAAATATTGATCAAGCTATAGATAAAACAAAAGAAAAATTAGATGATCAAGTAGACAATGTAAAAGAAAAAATAAAAGAAGTGCAAGAAAAAGTTCAAGACAAAGCAGAAGAAGTAAAAAACAAAATATGAGTAAAAAACTATGTTTGATCATATTATGTGTTGTTGTTTATTTTATATGTATTTATCATTCAACGATATTAATTTTGAAAATATGTTTAGTTAATCAATGTAAATTCATTTTCTTTTCAGTTAATCAAATAGTAGTTTCTGGGTATTTTGTTTCAAGGTCATAATCATCCATTGTAGATTTGTCCATTATTCCACAATAATATTGCTTTAGAAATGAAACACAAGAAAAATACCTCTGATGATTAGTGAAAATCACAGAAAAATTAGAATATAATTTCGGAAGCGCTTCATGTTGACTTTATTATTGGAAAATTTTGATGCATTATTCAAATGGCATTGCCGTAGCCGTAGTACTAAACAGCAAATAGAAAAAATAATATATTTTGACGAATTGAACTCAAAAAAGTATTTTCTTGTTTGTTCTTGTTACGAAAACTTTTATTACGGAAAACTGCACTTTCTCGAAAAACTTTCTAAATTTGCTGCTTTTCTTACCGCGAGCCTTACCTCATGTGGGAACGTTCCGCCGCCACTGTATTGAATGCACATGCTAAAGTACATCAAGTCCTTAACTATGACTTAAAATAAATGTAAAAGAAATATTAAAAATACTTTTTAAAAACTTTAAACAGACGCATCTTGACGCTTGTGGGAAAGACGCATGTTAACATAGCGAAATGGTGCAAATTCGATGCACGCAGACGCACCTAGGAAAATCGCGTCTGATGCGTATAAAAATACGTTTGAACGCGTCTTAACGCGCGTGGTAAAGACGCGTTTTAACATAGTAAAACGGTGAAAATTCGATGCACGCAGACGCGTCACCACATGCGTCTTCAGACGCGCTATAACTAAAAAATATTTACACGGGTAGACGCATATGAACTATATTTTTCATGTTTTTTAATCATGTATGGAAGACATACAAGGTTTATAAAAAGAGTCGCTGGGTTGGATAGACTATATAAATATTTCAGTTCATTGGATAAATCATTTCAAAACGAAAAAAACGGATTTAAAACGAAAAATCAACAAACAGAAAATATGTTCTTATTGCGTAAATAAACATTATGGAGAGTCGAAAAAAGAGTAAGAGAAGTAGTTCTTTCAAGAGTAAGTCTCGTAAGACACATTTTTTGAAGAGAATTCTCGAACAGGTGATTTTCTCTTTTATACGCTTCTATGATTCGCGCAGCTCTACTTACCACAACACAGCTTTCGAAAGTACGCTTACGTGAAGCTTCGAGCGCTAACTATCAAACTAACTAATCTTATCGTATGTGAGATAAAGAGGATACGCTGTACGTTAATGCTCTCTTGTAAATTATATGCATCCTTATTTTCTTCAAACTATTATGAAATTATTTTCAGTTTTATAGAAGAACTTAAATTAGAACTTAAAATAAACGCAACATATTCTTTGTAATTCATCGATCTTACGGTGTCTAATATCCGATCATATACTGTCAATATATATATGCATATGTGATTAATTGATTTGGCTTTTTTCTACTTGCTTTGTGCACAAGCGTTCCTTTGTCACATTCTGCAACTGTCAACCTAGTGACCGAATTGTATGTATAAAGTAAGAGATAAATACATATGTATTACACATGTGTTTTTGTAGTGTACTGCCATAATGGTTTCGTAGTAAAAATGCATTCAACCGTTACAAATATATTGATATGAGGATACATTTTTTGTTTACAAGTTAGTCATAATTAGTTTATCTGCTTCATTTTAACACATCCTCTGCAGAGCTGGACAAGTCAGAAGTTTTCAAGCCACAAGTCAAGTCAAGTCAAGTTACTGAAAAAAACTTTGAAGTCAAGTCAGGTCGAGGTCGGAAAAGTTTTTCTCCCAAGTCAAGTCTTCCGTTGAAATTTTTTCCGCCAACTCAAGTCAAGTCTGGTTAAAATTAGGCAGAACATAAAATTTGCTAGCACCTTTTGGGTGAGAGCGTTTTTATAGCCTTAGAAACCCTCTTTCATGGTAGAAAAAGTCTAATTTAAACGAAAATCTCTTACTACAAATGACTTGACTTGAAAAAAATGTCTCAAGTCAAGTCATATCCCCAGAAGATGTTGGACCAAGTCCAGTCACACCCCAAAGAATTTTGGATCAAGTCAAGTCTAGTCTGGTTTGACTTGATTTGCCTAACTCTGTCCTTCTGACGTTTCTAAAACGATTGCTCTCAAAGTTGATGTACAAAAAGTGAAAGAAACGGTTGCAGAAAAGTTAGTTTATTAGAAAAAAAGACAAAATCTATTAAAATCATATGGTAGTACTGCTAACTATATAGATGACACAACAAAGCGGCTACTGTTAAATTAGAATATCGCTAAACGAAACACCAGATGAAAGACTGATGTATTTGTTAACTATATAAATATACATCATCATTATAATCTCGTGTCAATGATTCGTATTCCAGCTTTTATGTTTAAACTATGGATACGGAGACATAGAGTTATTTTATTGAAAAATAGATCTTCCTAGTTTATATTCGTTATCATTTTATTCAAAAAATATATCTAGTACAACGGATTAGCAGAAAAAAAACGTCAGAAATGTAAGTTACTCCTGTCGGGTTTTTCTTGTGGATTTTTCTTCTTCCCTTTTTATATTAAAAGTTTTTGTAAAAACATTATTTTATTCTATTCAGAAAACTTTTCTTTCAATTATTCATCATAGGATAGTAACTTATTCTCTTTGCAAAAATATACTGTAAAATAGTTACACTAGACACAATTCTGTTTTGTTTTTTCTCTGTATTCAACATGTGCTAATATGTGGATATGTACAGTAGAAAAATATTGTTTAAAAGAGGTAACATTCTGTGAATTTTAGCTCTTAGATTAGCCATAGAAAATGGTCAAGAGAAACAAACACAACCAGATCATTAAGTCCCTAACAATGACTACATGATAAGTCCATTTCAGTTCATAAGCAAATACAAACAGAGGAGTTAAATATTAGGCTCGACGCGGGTATAAAACGTGAATCCTCTCTACGGCAGTATCAACTTCAATTAGTCTAGGAATGTACAATCGCACACTCCTGTTATTTGCGGTCTTGTTTATACGCTTAATTAAGACGAAGAATAAGAAAAAATATATAATACATGGTTTCGTTTTCTTACCTTTTTTCTTTTTTTTAACAGAAAAAGGAAGTCGTATTATATTACACATATTATTCTGTTCTTCATTCTAGACACACACATATGTTTGATAATTCATTTGTCATAAAACTAGATCTGTGAAAAAAAGGAATGGGAAATAAAAGTGGAAAGACGGATTTAACTGAATTAACTCCGAAACAAATTCGAATGTTACAAGCAAATACGAATTTTACACCCGAACAAATTAAGGAATGGCACAGAAGTAAGTCAAAATTGTCAAAATTGTCACCTATCATGCTTGGGTGAATTTGAAAAAATATCAGAAAAGATTCTGGCTTGAAAATATGGAAGAGAACACCGATGAAAAGCATTAGGAGTTGTCGATGATTTTCACAAGAAAGAATTGTATTTGACAAATCTTTTATTTGTCGCAAGTTGTCAAATTCACAAAAAAAACAATCTCAGGTAAACAGACTTGTTAATATCTTTTGTTTTGTACATTCAGGTTTTGTTCGTGATTGTCCATCAGGTATGCTAGAGTAGTAGTAATAGTATATTGCTTTATTCATATAACGAAAAATAAACGGTACAAGATAAAAATAAAATAAAAGCTCCACTTTTACATTGACTATAGACGAGCTTCGTCTCTGTAGTCTGAACATCAAAAAAGAAAACCATATAAGAAAATATCACCATGATCACACCACTATGTACAAATCATAAAGCATGAGAAAATAATTCAAGAGAAAACGAGACACAGAAACGACAGAGCTTCATTTAGTAACAGAAGACAAAGTCAAATAGAGAAGGTCTTTGAACACCGAGGAGTTTTTACCAGTTCTGCCTCTGCTGCAAATTAGATGCTTTCCTTTTAGTAACTGTGGGTTCGAACGTTTGGGGTGTCCTTTATACATGATTTTTTGCTTGGCTACGTAAATATTCATCAGGGCGAACCTATGTTGAAATCAGGGACTTTAAATCAGCTATTTTTTCTCTTTTTAAAGACGTTCCCCAAGGATCCTGTATAGGTCCGGTATCATTCATCGTATTTCATTTCGATTTGTTAAACTCAATTTCTAATCTTCATTGGAAGCATCTTTTTTGCAGATGACTTAACTGTGGTTGTCTCTTTATCAGTACATTAGTCCTCTAAAGTGCTTATTCTGAAGCTTAGTGAACATATTACTCAGGTACTTAAAAGTCTTCTTTCTTATTCTATTACATAGAAGCAACCTATAAATTTTGAAAAAACTTTTTGGACACTCTTTCATCGTCAGGTCGCTTCTCTAATTCCTGTTATTGTTTGTGATAACCATATCGTGGAACATGTTTCCAAATTCAAGTGTTTCGGCACTATTTTCGATGTGAAATTGTCGTTTTCTTCTCATCTTGATTACATCAAGAGAAAAATCCGTACAAACGCCTCTGTCTATCAGCCAGTCGTATGCTAAATGAGCATGTAGCGTATCGCTTATTTTTTGCGTTTATTCGTCTACATTTTCAATCTCTATTTAACGTGTACCCTATTCTTGCGATAAGTAAACAACAGGAGCTTGAAGCATTAAATCGTCAAATGTTTAGAGCTACTTTTGGCTGGTATGATGACAAAAACGTTGAAACAGAGCGTCTACCACGATACAAATCTATAGAGGTGCTAATCCAAATACACTGCACAAAGCTACTTTCTACCTTACTTGTCACAAATCCTAGTGTGATCTGTCACTATATTTAACATAAACTGTATTTAATATTTTGTACTAGGTATACTAGAGTATCTTTCTCTCGTTACAATTGTTTTTTTTAATTAATCCTAAACAGGCAAATTAGATAAAAAGAAATTTATTGAAGTATATAAACAATTCTATCCTCAAGGAAAGGTAATTTTCTTATTGAACATGTTCTTCTATCTGTTTTACTCTTTTCTTTTTTCTTTATTATTCAGGCAGATAATTTTTGTACTTATGCATTCCATACATTCGATCAAGACAATAATGGTAATAAGCTAGTGTGAGAATGATAGAATAATCGTTCTTATTTCATTTATTCGAGGTTATGTTGATTTTAATGAATTTTTATTGGCTATTGCTGTTATATCAGGTGGTAAGAAAAACACTTTTTCTATCTGTTTTAAAATTTATAATTAAAAGAAAAGAAAAGTATGTTAAAGTTTTCTATTTTCAAGTAGAAAAGTATATAAATGATATTATTGACGTAATAAAATTTGTTTTTTCTCGAACTTCAGTTAATAAATTGAGATGATTTTAATTATATCAAATAAAAAGTAGTTAAATATTTTATCTATATATTTTTAACAAATATAAAAGTAGAATTCGAAATATCCTTAAAATTCTAGGTTCATTAGAACAACGATTACAGGCAGCATTTGAGATGTATGACAGGTAAATAAGAAATTGCTGATGGGAGTGATAGAGCGAGGTTATGCCTAGTTTCTATTTGCAGTGATGATTCAAATTATGTTGATCAGAAAGAGTTGAATACAATGATTACGGTCATGTATAATATAGTTGGTCAGCAGGATCGAGAAGGACCTTATGATCCAAATTATATTGCAAAACAAATAATCTCAGAATTAGACATAACAGATGATAAAAAATTATCGAAAGAAGAATTTATCGATGGGTACATATTTTCGAATCTTTCAAATTCGAAAGAGAAAAAGTTGAGATTTTTTTTTGTTTAGAATCAAATCAAATATTCGATTACGAGACTTATTAACACCTCATGTCTGACAGAATCTTAGTGTAGTAATGATAAATTTTTTTATAGAAGTTTTAATATATTCACTGAATAATAACGGGTGCGAGAGAAGAAATGTCTCTCTCTGTATTTTCTCAATATCTCGGTCAAGATTGATCGCCAAGTCTCAATCTTTTTTTTTAAATTTTACATTTAATTCTCTACACAAAATATATTGAACATTTCTTTCTGAACTATAACAACAAAAAAAAATATAGAGGAAATACAGAAAAGTTTCAATCCCAATTACTTTTAAACCCAAATACAGGTTTTTTCATTTCAGTGCTAAATATTTTGCGATAGAAAAAAAAGAGAAAATGGCTATTTAATAGTACTTGAAAATTTCTCTCAACTGACTATATTTAAGACTCTTCATAGGCACAAGCGACTAAGAGAGAATTTTTTTTTCTTTTAGTGATTTTGTCCAAAATCATCATTTTCTAACTGCAGTTTTGAGGCACTTAGGAAAATTTGTATGATTCGATGAAAATCACATATTATGAGATAGGATCTGGTTTATTTTGATGTAAAATAATTTTTCTGTTATATTCGAACAGAGAATATAGAATAGCTTCATTTCGTCTCCTGTGTCAAGGCGAAAAAACCAAATTTTCCTTTCTTTTTTTACTTTTAGTAAAATCTTGGTTAGTGGCAGAGAAAAAGATTTAAATGTGATATTTGAAAAGAAAGGTGATATTTCAAAGCACCAGAAAATACATTTCGATTCCACTTTGATGCATAGCACCTTGTTCAAAATAAATATTTTTTGATTGCGCTTTGGGTTTGAAAGTAATAAAAATTGAAGTTTTTCCATATTTTCCCTATATTTTTTTGTTCTTATAGTATAGAAAGAAGTATTCAATAAGTTTTTGAATTTGAATAAGTTTTAAATTTTGATATAAAATACGAGAACATCTCATTTAGTTACGAATAATTTCTCGTTTTTTTTCCTTACAATGAAATCATGAATACTGTTACTATTGTCCACTTAATTTGTGCTAACATCAGTGCTTTGACTAGAATTTTGTGTATTAATACGCTTTGTTTTATTAACATGACTACTTTTTGCTGAATAGTTAGTTAATTATGCTTTTAATAATACTTTGTGAATGTTATAGCGCATTCGTTCAATTAACTATTATATATATATTTAGGTGATTTAAAAGATCGTTTGGATTTGGCATTTTCAATGTATGATGTTGACTCAAATGGTTTTGTTGATAAAAAAGAATTGACAAAAATAATATCGGCTATTTATGAGTTGAATGGTGAAAGAAATCAAAAGAAAGACAATGCACCGAGTAAAGTAGCTGAAATAATCATTAAAAAATTTGATATTACCGATGATAATCGTTTATCGAGAGAAGAATTTATTAGTGGATGTATGAATGATCCTGAGTTACATGAACTTCTTACTCCATGAATCTATGAATTTGAATTAAAGACAATTAGTATAAGAAATATTATTTAACACATCGTCTCTTTTTACACTACACGAAAACAGTTTAGTTTTTTGCTGTTGAAATAAATACATGGAACAAAATACAGCTTCTTTAATTTAGTTGATTAAATTCAGCAAGAAAGTTTCTGACGGACAACAGAGAAATACCTTATCCCAGAAAAATACGCTTGAGAAACAAGCGTCACTTCGGGAGACCCGTCTATATTCGAAATTAGAACAAGTTCTAATTTAGCAAAGGAGAAGAAGTATTGAATTAGTTTGATCAAGAAAAAGTTGTGTTTATTAAGGATTTAAAATAAAATGTCATTTGACATGTGGTTAAAATCATCGTTAATAATATACAAAATGTTCTATTGTTTGTAATTTAACCAATTATTATTCTAGTATATCTCACTTGCTATGCTAGAAAAATTTAATTAAAAAAAGTATACATTGTGGAATTTGGTCATTCATGCCTAGTGTCATTGCTTTTAGATGTTAACTTTCTTCATCCCTACCACTGTTTCTTCGATAAGTCATTCATATCCTTTAGTTCATGAAATTTGTTTTTGTCTATACATCAGACGATAACAGTTCGGATTGCACTTGTTTCAAAATACATTCCGGCGGTTCGGTCGCTATTCCACTATTCTTCGACTATTCCTGTATTCCGCTGTTACACAACATTTGATTTTATAATAATTTTATATAAATGTATACAGGAAATTCATTTTCTTTTCTAACTGATTTGATTACTTCTTCAAAGACGATTAACTGCTATGTGCCCAAAGGTTATTCTTTTATCAACCTACCAAAAACTTTTCCTTTACAGTTTACTCTACTCTGATACTATTTGGACTTTCGTATAAGAAAAATTCTTCTGTTTTTCTGTTTAAAGAATAAAATGAGAAAAGAATTTTATATTTTCATCAAATGTTCATCGTTTAAATAGATGAATAACTCTCAGTAGTTTCTGGAACAATAGTACATAAATATGAAATTAAATCACCATTAGCAGTATACTGTCTATCATTAGGTAACACTTGAAAAGAACAGGAAAAAAGGAAAATTTCCATTGTAATGCATTATCTCTGTAAACAATTTTAGAGCAAAATACCACAGTCAACAGTCTGGTACCAGTTTATTAATTTTAATAAACTTCTTACTCCACTTCCAAAATTTATATTTGTGATCATTGATCGGAAATCATAAAGGGACCTTTTTTCAATATTCACCGCAAAAATAAATTAGATTTTTCAAGAGCTTAAGCAGTTCAATAATGAATCAATCACTAACTATACGTACGATGTTCTTTTTGTTTTAATCAACAAAATATATTAAGAAACAAGTTCATAAGTATGTACAACCACTCAGTATCATTGAGTAGCCACTCATTTTCACCATCTAATTTTGTTTAATCGACGCCAGCTGCTCTCAAGTTATCTTCAATGATGATGTCAATAACAACGTTGGTGAACTGATTCAGGTCTTGATCTATTTCGTTGCATGTGCCGTTGCGTCTGTATTGGCCACCTCGTTGACTTCTGGAAAATTCATTTCGCACATCTTCATCCCAAATATCATCAACTGTGTCTGTTTTATAATCAGATATTATATCAATAGTTTGTTCATCTTGAAGATAACTTGAGAGCAGCTGGCGTCGATTAAACAAAATTAGATGGTGA